TCAAATGACTGCTCAAGGATGTAAGAGTGTCAAACACGTTGAAACACGTTGAATCATGTTAATATTGTTCACAATTTCATTTTTATGTAAAAGACGACTCTAGCTCCACAATTTTTTGGATGCACGAAAAGGAAGAGGGGCAAAGAAAACATTAGAGAATGTTTGAAGGAGGTATTATGTCAATTTTGCAACATTTTTCGTTGACCACTGTTTGAAAAAAGAAAGCTCCCCACTGATTGCTTTTTAAATCAAGAAAATATCCTTATTTCCTCTTGCTAAAGCTAAAGCTATACCATAGCATTTTAAAAACCACCATCCCTTTTTGCGAAGATCCTTAGGTAAAATTACTTTCACTTTTGTTTCTTGTCTCTGGAGTATCGAACATGTGATCCGAAATGACGGGACGATTTCAGTATGTTGCCAAAGGGTGTATGTCAAAAATAATGATAACTGGCAGCAATCGCACGCGCATATGTCAATTACCTGCACGCGGAATAACCCGCCTTTGCGCAGCACACACGTACGCGGCAGCTACATCCTGCAATTACCTTCGTCCACAACAACTTTTCGGACACTTAATGTAGCCTAGTCATGCCTAGGAGAATAGGACTGAATCTCATGAGAGCGGTTGCTGAGAATAACACGTACTTTCGCCAAGAAGCAGGTACCGTTAGCCACTGAAGAACGCCGTTATCATTAGTGGTGCATGTTGTATAGTACCATATGGCAAGCATACTTTTTTTTTCCAGACTGTAAATTCATGTGTTTGCTGTACCTTAAAATGAAGCGTGATTTTTTTTGTTTCCATTTCATTCTAACGGATTACATCGCCTATCGACATATTCTCACATATACGGATTTTTTATTTACGCTTTTCTTTCAATTAGATTCTAAATTGTCTCGCTTTCCTTAAACTCCGACCCGAGCTCGTGCACCTGCAAGACCACGCGTTTACGCTAAGCCGAGAGCTGCTTTGGAAGTTGCATCGCCTCTTAGGCCGTAGGTTTTCATAACGTAAATTTTCTTGATTAAATCCCTTTTACAGAAATGAGCACTTTTTGTGGAGGATCATAGAGTGGCCTCAGAAGATGTGCCCATTGAGCTTGAACAAGAGGTTCCACAAGGTGGGAGAAATTGTCTTTTGATGTTACCTATGCTACTTCGAAATATCTCATTTATACTAATTCCCAGGAACCGTCTACGAATGACGGGATCCAGTTTGAGCAGTCGCTAGGGCATAGGCAAATGGAATCTTCGAGACTTCCACTGACGCTCCACGACTGCATTTCGGACGGAATACTGCAGATGACCATGCTGCCGAACTGATTTTAACAAAGATGCGGCGCGAGCAGTTCAATGAGGCAGCATACTATGTTAGTTTTCAAGATGAATTTGTTCAACTATAAATGACGCGAATTTATTATTAACTTGAGTTCATTCGGTCAGATGTGGCATTGTGAGCAATCCTCACTCATGGTAGTTTGATTCGCACATTCGGACCTGATATCGAACTGCTGTGAGGGATTGCTAGTAGGATGAAAGTAAGACTAGATACTTGATTTTTGCATTACTAT